CCTTCACGAAGGCACACGAAGAAGATGATGTAAATGCACATACTTTAAAAAAATTATACTCAAATAACTAGTGATAATAATCCAATAGCAATGTCAGAGGTTAAGTGAAAATTAGCACATAGGCACATAATACAAACCAGATGAAACTTCACAAAACAACTGGAGAATTATTGGATATATTTTATCATGAATTTCTTTAGTCTCGCATTGATATATATATATATATATATATATATATATATATATATATATATATATATATATATATATATATATATATATATATATATATATATATATATATATATATCACCGGAAACCTAGGTAAATTGTGGTGGAGTACTACTATTATATTGTGCCAAACAATTACCCCCTCCCCCCCCCCCCCCTCCGAGCTCCACCCCTAGGTGTTGAAATAGTCCCATAACTCTAAGGACAGTGGAAAAGATACCGCTTAAAAAATAGCCTACATAGCAACGTGAAGGACCTCTAGAGCTTTGAGGTGTTTTTTTTCAAACTGTGTCTTAATCTATGGGCTGAGTGATAACGAACAATTTCAAACGGCAGATAAGAAGTGGATATAGAAAAACAGAAGAAGGGTAAAGGTAAATATAAATAGACTGACATGTTTAGCTAACTGGTATCATGGCCAAAGCCATATTAGTACAAGTTGCTTTGATAAAAGAAGAGTAACGTAATGCGTGAATGTGTGTTTTTGTGTCATGTTGGAAGTTGAATCAATAGGCTCAGCTTAGAGGAACGATCTATTATCTTAAATTTGCTCTCAAAAGAAGGATCAGTACGTATTGGTTACGACTCTTTATAAATGCATTGTAATTACCAAAATAAAAAATAAACATTGTTTTTAAATATTATATGAAATATATAAAATAGCTTCTAGTTTTAACATATTGATGAACGTTAGAAATATCAAAAACGCTTAGTGTGTTGGTAGTTTTTTAACTGTCTTAAATTAAATAACCTTTTCTTTCGTATAAGCCCACTCTAATAACATGGCGAAAGGCCTTATTTTTATCTAATTATAATCTCATCTCGAAGAGGACTTGTAAAATCTAAATTAGTTATTGATCTGTATTGTATGTTCAAAGATCAACACTTTTACTTCAATCACATCCTTTCTAATTAAGATTCTTATGAAAAAGCTAGACTGTACTTAAAACCCGGAGTAAAAAAAACTTAGTCCTACAATCGATATCAATACTTTAACTCCAATCACACCCACTTCATTTAAGATTCTTATTTTTAAAATATCGACTGTACTTAAATCCCGCAGTAAAAAAAAAACTTGGTCTCACAAATGATATTTTGTTCTACTGTGATCTTTATTTTCAAACCAAAGAACTTTAGTTAGTTCTTTGCTGCTAGGTCCATAAGACGTTAGGCTAGAGCAGAGGCGTAGCCAACTGTTTCTCCCCCGGGGCGAACGATCAGTTTTTGCTCCCCACCCCATCTCCATTTTTTTTTTAAAGTTGTTGACGTTGGCGAAAAAACCCCCTCCCTCAATTTGGAAAGGATGAAGTCACCTATAGAAAACAATTAAATCAGTCTGGAGACCCAAGTAGCAATTCTTAACTTTGACTGTGTATAATTCAGTAATGTAGCTCATAATGTGATATTTTATTTCTTACCCAGTTTGGCTCCCCCTATAGGGTCGATGACCTGCCCTTGCTATACGCTGTGTTATATGTGTATCGGAGACAAACCGAAATATGTAGCCTAATTATGTAAGCTTAACTACGAAAGGCGGTGTTTTAAGTAGTAATCCCTTAGGGGTCGTCCATAAATGAAAATGAGGTCACACTCGTAGAAGAATGGGGGGTCCGTAATTTTGTCACGGAGTGTGTTGAGGGTGACGGGTGGGGCTCAGATGGTGTGACATCACACTTTTATAGAAAAGCAACGTTAGAAAACGAATTTTAGCCGTTGTTTCAAGTTTTAGGAAACTGTTTTAATAAATTATAATAGGAATTGATTGAAATACTCTATGTTGACTGAGTTTATATATATATATATATATATATATATATATATATATATATATATATATATATATATATATATATATATATACAGAGACAGAGAGAGAGAGAGAGGGAGGGGGGGATAGAGAGAGAGATGGGGGGGGGGGGGGGGAGAGAGGTGACTTTTTTATGTATGGAATAATAGGAGACTCAATACATTCTCCAGCGCACACGTTCCTCCACATCCGGGTCCCTTTATAAATCATTTACAAACCAAGTGTCACAGGCTACAAGAACACATGTCATTCCAGAACACAATATATGCATTAACAAATAAAATAGAAGAATACCTGTCATTTGATTAACAGCACAACACACACACACAATCAAGCGAGCTTACAATGAGGGGACGCTACACACACAATCAAGGGGGGCTACACACCATCATAGGAGGACTACTCAATAATCACATCTACGTCTGTTATCCCCCCTCCCCCGTCTTTCTATTCGACCACAAAGGTAAGTCAACGTCCCCCGTCTCTTCCATGAGACGGGGGTACCATTTAACATTACTGGTTGATTACTAGTACCGTTTGTCTTCATGATCTTCTTCTTTTACTCTTCTTCACCTACGGACTACTCGTGAAAGTTTGTAAAATATGTGGCTTGTACAGACTTGCGTCTCATAAGCTTAATGAATGTATGTTTCAATGTTCCGTCTATCAGTACACTAATGCTATGATTCCTAGCAGGGTATACGGCAGTTCAGTGGGTATCGTCTTTTAAGTTTAAATTATTAAATACTGAGTAGAAGATTTGAGCTTTGGTCAAAACACCTGTCCTTTTAATTGGTAAGTAAATAATTTGGTATAACCATATTGTACTAATGTTTGATGCGTAGGCTATACTGTGTGAATAACTTTGTTTTTTTACTTTTGCTTCTGATCATGTGTATGTATATGTGCCTGTCTGTGTGTTAACTGATACACAATCTGTTTGATTCTAATTTTTTTTTTATTTCACGTGATCAATCACAGAGCAACAATCTAGATTCTAGAACAACGAAACATACATTGCAGTTTTGTTTTAATACTGAATTATACATTAAGTCCTAATTTTACAGGAACCAGAATTATCCGAAACCGTTGACATATTTTTCTCCGATACACTATTAATATAATATATTGTGGTATCTATAGCCTCACTCGGATTATTTTTCCCATTAATAAGGAAATAGATCACTGGTTTGTCTAACGTTGGCTGCTAATTAACTACGCGAATAACACGACAAATCTTAACCACGGCATAGGCCCCTATCTCTTATAGGGAGTCACTGGTGTGTTTATGTAGCTATAACATTGTACAGATATTATCAGCTATTTATAGATGCGTAGTTGGTTTAGTCCAGGTATTGTAGTTGGTTTAGTCCAGGTATTATACTAGGTTTAGTTCAGGTATTGTAGTTAGTTTAGTACATGTATTGAAGTTGGTTTATTCCAGCTATTGTAGTAGGTTTAGTACAGGTATTGTAGTAGATTTAGTCCGGGTATTGTAGTTGGTTTAATACAGTTATTGTAGTTGGTTTAGTTCAGGTATTGTAGTTGGTTTATTTCAGGTATTGTAGTTGCTTTAGTCCAGGTATTGTAGTTGGTTTAGTACAGGTATTGTAGTTGCTTTAGTCCAGATATTGTAGTTGGTTTAGTCCAAGTATTGAACTTGGTTTAGTACAGGTATTGTTGTTGGTTTAATCCAGGTATTGTAGTTGGTTTAGTCCAGCTATTGTAGTTGGCTTAGTCCAGGTATTGTAGTTGGTTTAGTCCAGGTATTGTAGTTGGTTTAGTCCATGAATGGCGTGAAAAAATACAGTTGGGACAGAAAATGGCGTCTTCTCACAAACATAAAGAGCACAAATCCTCCAGCTTGGCTATGAGGAGACTATGGTGAAAGGAATTGTGTAAATATTTTTTTAGGTAAATAGGTTATTTTTTATATTTATTGGTTTAATATTTATTTTGGCTCTTATTTGGAGTTAGAAGATGTATGGTAGGTTTAATGTTTTCTGTAGAGCGTGGGAGTATTGATCCGTTACCCAGCGATCACGGTCAAGTATTGAATGATATGATGAGTTGCAACCTTCCATTGTGGTGTCGATACCAGAGGATGGTGTATTTAACCAGAGGCGTAGCGAGGGGGGGAGGGGGTGCGGACCGCACCGGGGGACACCATTTAGGGGGGGGGGGGTGACACCAAGGCAAAAAATTGCAAAATATATAGAGAAAAACTTGGTGGGGGGGGGGGTGCGAATCGAAAGTTTGAGGGGGGGGGGGTGCAAATCGAAAATTTGAAAGTTTGTCACCGGGAAGGGTCGCTACGCCTCTGAGGGTGACACCATTAAGTGCCGCACCGGATGACACCCGACCTCGCTACGCCACTGTATTTAACTATGATTAATCTATCAATTGTTTGCTCTCTAAAATTCGCAATTGTTGGCAGCTCCCCCCCCCCTTTTTTTTTTAAACAAATACATTTGTAAATACTTTATTACCCGGATGAAGCTTAATCTTATCTGATATTTATTTCCTCACACAATATGCATTGAATCTAATGAATTAATTTATGAAATATATCAGGTTTTAACACTTAGAATCACATACACATGTGACAAACGAAACAGTACGGATTTATGCCTTTATTTTAAAAAATAAATTTTAATTTGTTAAAAGTTTAGTTATAGATTTCTACATATTATATTTTTGTGTTATTTTATCAAGTTAAGTACACCTTCAGTGAATGTATTTAGTTTAGTACATTATTTATCTCCATAATTATTTGTTAAAACAAGCTGAACTGGTAACAAGTTATTCTTGATACAATGCAGTGTGTTAATGCAGAAAAACGTGCACAGAATTTAATCAATTTAAAAAAAAAACGCTTTAAACCTTATTCACAGACCGCACCAAACAGCACCGACGCTGAAAGGCAGTGAAGAATATTTATAAAATCGTTTAGGTTCAAAGACTAAAGGTTCAAAGACTAAAGGATTAACGCAAACGGGCATTTGCTTGAGTTGGCCTATATTGTTGGTATCACGTGACTTGTGTTAAATTGTTGTAATTCATTCGTTTGTAAAGTTCGATAATGGATGAGGATGTGCAGAAAGGGAAACTAAAACAGTCGCGTTCCCGACTCGGCTGGCCAAAACAAGGTACAAGCTGGTGTTTGTCTTATAAGGGTGTGCAATGGTGTCAGTCTTCTAATGGCAATGGTGTCTGACTTCTAGTGGTGTCTGGCTTGTAATAATGTCTGTCGTGTCTTTGAGTGGTGCCATTCTCCTTATAGTGTGTGTCTTCTAATGGCAATGGTGACTGACTTCTAGCGGTGTCTGACTTGTAATAATGTCTGTCGTGTCTTTGAATGGTGTCTTTCTCCTTATAGTGTGTGTCTTCTAATGGCAATGGTGTCTGACTTCTAGCGGTGTCTGACTTGTAATAATGTCTGTCGTGTCTTTGAATGGTGTCTTTCTCCTTATAGTGTGTGTCTTCTAATGGCAATGGTGTCTGACTTCTAGCGGTGTCTGACTTGTAATAATGTCTGTCGTGTCTTTGAATGGTGTCTTTCTCCTTATAGTGTGTGTCTTCTAATGGCAATGGTGTCTGACTTCTAGCGGTGTCTGACTTGTAATAATGTCTGTCGTGTCTTTGAATGGTGTCTTTCTCCTTATAGTGTGTGTCTTCTAATGATGTATGTTTTTAATGGTGTCTGTCTTTGAATGGTGTCTTTCTCCTTATAGTGTGTGTCTTCTAATGATGTATGTTTTTAATGGTGTCTGTCTTTGAATGGTGTCTGTCTTTGAATGGTGTCTTTCTTTGAATGGTGTCTTTCTCCTTATAGTGTGTGTCTTCTAATGATGTATGTTTTAATGGTGTCTGTCTTTGAATGGTGTCTGTCTTTGAATGGTGTCTTTCTTTGAATGGTGTCTTTCTCCTTATAGTGTGTGTCTTCTAATGATGTATGTTTTTAATGGTGTCTGTCTTTGAATGGTGTCTGTCTTTGAATGGTGTCTTTCTTTGAATGGTGTCTTTCTCCTTATAGTGTGTGTCTTCTAATGGTGTATGTTTTTAATGGTGTCTGTCTTTGAATGGTGTCTTTCTTTGAATGGTGTCTTTCTCCTTATAGTGTGTGTCTTCTAATGGTGAGATGTATGTTTTAATAGTGTCTGTCTTCTAATGGTGTATGTATTTTAATTGTGTCTGTTTTAATGGTGTTTGTCTTTTAATGTGTCTGTCCTCCAATGGTGTCTGTCTTCTAATGGTGTATGTCTCTTATAGTGTGACTTCTAATTTTGTCTGTCTTTTAATGGTGTTTGTCTTCTGATAGTGTTTGCCTTCTAACGGTGTCTGTCTTCTAATGGTGTATGTGTTCTAATGGTGCCTGTCTTTTAATGGTGTTTGTCTTCTAATGGTGTTTGTCTTCTGATGGTGTTTGTCTTCTAATGGTGTTTGTCTTCTGATGGTGTCTGTCTTCTAATGGTGTTTGTCTTCTGATGGTGTCTGTCCTCTGATGGTGTATTTCTTCTAATGATGTTTGTTTTCTAATAGTATCATACTTCTAATAGTGTCTACTAATGTTTCTACTCACAGCTTGTTGATTTTGCAAATCATCAAAATTCCTGAAGATAGTCAGAAACCACAGTCATAGATACGCTTAGGTTTAGGGTCAGGACTAAGATAAATAACATGGTCAGGATTAGGGATACGATAAATAGCATGGTCAGGATTAGGGCTACGATAAATAACATGGTCAGGATTAGGGCTACGATAAATAGCATGGTCAGGATTAGGGCTACGATAAATAGCATGGTCAGGATTAGGGCTACGATAAATAGCATGGTCAGGATTAGTGCTACGATAAATAACATGGTCAGGATTAGGGCTACGATAAATAACATGGTCAGGATTAGGGCTACGATAAATAGCATGGTCAGGATTAGGGCTACGATAAATAGCATGGTCAGGATTAGGGCTACGATAAATAGCATGGTCAGGATTAGTGCTACGATAAATAACATGGTCAGGATTAGGGCTACGATAAATAACATGGTCAGGATTAGGGCTACGATAAATAACATGGTCAGGATTAGGGCTACGATAAATAACATGGTCAGGATTAGGGCTACGATAAATAACATGGTCAGGATTAGGGCTACGATAAATAACATGGTCAGGATTAGGGCTAAGATAAATAACATGGTCAGGATTAGGGCTACGATAAATAACATGGTCAGGATTAGGGCTACGATAAATAACATGGTCAGGATTAGGGCTACGATAAATAACATGGTCAGGATTAGGGCTACGATAAATAACATGGTCAGGATTAGGGCTACGATAAATAACATGGTCAGGATTAGGGCTAATGTCAAGGCTGAGCGCGGGACCAGAATTACGAATAGGTCATTGACACGAACAATTACATTTCATTACATGTGTAGCCTGGAATACACGATTCTGGACAATTAATTAGTACGCCCTATAATTACCCTCTGTGTCGAGCCTTTTTTTAAAAAATAATATCGATTCCTCTTTTAGTTTCAACGTTATCTGATCGCAATCCTTGTTTTAAAATGAGCTCAGTGTCAGTGGCGTAGCGAGGTCGGGTGTCACCCGGTGCGGCACTTAATGGTGTCACCCCCCAGAGGCGTAGCGATCCTACTCGGGGACAAACTTTCAATTCAATTTTCCATTCCCCCCCCCCCCCCCCCGTCAAACTTTCGATTTGCACCCCCCCCCCCCCCCCCCCAAACATTCGATTTGCACCCCCCCCCCCCCAAACATTCGATTTGCACCTCTTAAAACACTATTTAACACTCGAATTAATCACTTAATTAAGTGGAATTATCATTTTCTCTATATATTTTGTTATTTTTTGCCTTGGTGTCACCCCCCTAACTGGTGTCACCCGGTGCGGTCCGCACCCCCCGCACCCCTCTCGCTACGCCTCTGCTCAGTGTGCTTGCTTTCGCTCAAATGAATGGGTTCATTTTATTTTCAGGTTTGGTACTGACGTTCCTCTGTCTCGCTGTCGTGTTTCTGTACAACTGGTTCATGTTGTCCGCGCCTGCCAAAACCAACAACAGAAACTACACCATTGATGACTAGCTGGGTAGAGAGAGAGAGCTAACTTACCACAGAAACTACACCATTGATGACTAGCTGGATAGAGAGAGCGAACTTACCACAGAAACTACACCATTGATGACTAGCTGGATAGAGAGAGCTAACTTACCACAGAAACTACACCATTGATGACTAGCTGGATAGAGAGAGCGAACTTACCACAGAAACTACACCATTGATGACTAGCTGGATAGAGAGAGCTAACTTACCACAGAAACTACACCATTGATGACTAGCTGGATAGAGAGAGCTAACCTACCTGCAGGGCTTCGGGTTTGTGTACTTCGTGGGGTACCGGGGTGAAATCAAACAGAACCATTTTCGACAACAATGTTACAGAACAGCTCGTGTAGTTTCGTTTCAAGTTTCAAATTCATCTCGCTGTTGCTGTGTGTCTTTGTGCTTGTGACGTTTATCTGGCTGTCCACGTTTCAATCCAGCCCTATCCTTGCTAACGAGAACGCACTTGTAGACGACGATGAAACAGACGACATTGAAAGCGACGATGTTAGAACAAATAACAGGCGGAGATTAACCTGCGTGTTCCCCAAAGTCGACCCCTTTGATCCGGTAATCGTGAAAACACTTATAGACCACGCGAAGCATCCGTCTTTACGTTGTAACGGCTCCCTGCCGGAGATGGTGTACCTGAACGGCTCACAGCTCGTCGTCAACCTGACGGCAGCCGGCGAGCACCAGTCTGGGAACATCACCTGTGGGTACCAGGAAGTGGTCATGAACTACGAGAAGGACAAGTCACACCTGAACCCCCTGCAGACGTTCACAGATTTTAAGAATCTTCCGCCGAGCACGGAATTTATTCGGACTGTCTGTCACGGCGATGGGGGGAAAATTGCGGCTGTCGATTACTTCGCGTTGTTCCCGAAGCGGGATAACGAGGACGAGATGCTGAAGCTCCTGGCCAAGAAAAGGGTGGCTGAGTTCTCCCCGCAGGAGACGCTGAACGTGTTGATGGTTGGGATAGACGGAGTCCCCAGACACCAGTTTATGCGGTCGATGAACAAGACATACCCCTGGCTAATGAAAGGCGGGAATTCCATTGATTTGGTCAAGTACACGCAAATCGGGAAAAACACGTTCCCGAATTATCTCCCGTTGCTGTCCGGTATTCTGGAAGATGAGATTAAAAGCTGGTGGACGCATGAGGACTTCGTCGACGCCTTAGATCTCATATGGGAGGATTTTTCTAAAGCGGGGTATCGTACTCTCTTCACTGAAGACTGGACTACAATCGGTGGGTACCATTACCAGAGGCGAGGCTTCATGAAGCCACCAACGGCTCATTTCAGCCGTCCGATTGGCTTAGAAATCGACAAAGACGAAAACATTAGGAAAGGCGGTTGGTCTTGCATGAATAGCAGGAAGGAAGCCAGTTTCCATCTTGACTACATCAAGCAGTTCTTTAACAAATATCGCAACGAGCCGCTGTACGCGATGGCCTTCTTGGCCAAACTAACCCACGGGGATATGTCGGCCGCTTGGTTGCTGGACCAGCTTATGTTTGACTTCTATGAGGAGCTGCAGAACACAGGTATCTTAAACAACACTTTGCTGATTACGTTTTCAGACCACGGGCCTAGACAGAGCTGCGTAGATCATACATTCAACGGCATGGTGGAACGGAGAAACCCGTACGCCATCTTAACTTTCCCGCCGTGGTTTCTTCGGAAATACCCGAATGTTCGGAAAAATCTAAAAACCAACAGCTTACGTCTTACGACTCATTTTGATGTCCACGCTACACTGCAAGAGTTGATATACTTCCAAAGTAAAAAGCCGAGCCCGCTGAGAAAAAGAAGCCACGGGATAAGTTTGTTCCAGAAAATTCCAAGCGATAGAACCTGTGAGGACATTCCTATTCCGAAAGAATACTGTCTTTGTGGTCAGCGGGGTATGGACGAGGTCGACTCAAACACTGTGCTCTATCAAATCCTGCTCAACACATCTCTCAAAGCTATCAACTCTAAAATCAGTGGCGCCCCCTGCGCCCAGCTGCGCCTTGAAAAGGCCTTACAAGTTGTGCAGATTATTCTACCGGAAGAGGCGTTCGAGTCTCGGGACAAGCTGGCGATGTTCAGGGTTAGGCTGCAAACGCTTCCGGGTCATGCGCAGTTCGAAGCCACTGTGCTAGCTAACAACGTTCGCCAGAACTCTTCGATGGAAGAAATCGCAAAAAGCCGTATCGAGGCTGGGCAGATCATTGACAGATTAAACCTCTACAAAGGTCAGGCAGACTGCATGGACGACCCCATCTTGCGGCCATTTTGTTTCTGCAAAAATTTATTAGAGGACGAGAATTGAACTTTTCTCTCTAGTATTTGTGTTTCTGTTGTGCGTGTGTACGTGTGTGTGTGTGTGTGTATTTGCGCGTGTGTGTGCGAGTACGAGTGCAGGTGAGTTGAGTGTGTATTTGTTTATGTAGAAAGACAATTCACTTTACTTAAATGTTAATTTCTGGCATGCAAGTGTCATTTTCTTATTTCTTTATTTTTAATGCAAACTATTTTGTTGTTACCGTCTTCTTATTATATCAACTGGCGTTGTGCGTGTTTGCAAATAGCGCATATTGTTAAAATATCACACATAGTAATGTTAGTTTCGCTAATAATATGGCAGCAGCACTGTTAAAATAAGAGACATCTAAAATAAATGTATCAATATCAAGACTGAATGAGAACTTTATTTTTTTTCTGGTAGTTTCATCAGCCACAATGGGTACCTAAAAGAGCTGAGTGCTTTCAATGACGCGCTAATTATTACCTGAAGGTTCGTGCAAATGCTCCACTATTTGATTCAAGCAATCTTTTTTTAGCGCAATTTCCATTCTGGAGAATTGCGTTTATTAACTCGTCATTTCTGGGAATGGATGGATGGATGGATGAATGTGTGTCCGGGCTTTAAGTCGTATCTCCTCCTCAACGAAGCAATATCGATGAATAGTTCCAAAAGCAATTATGTTAAGCAAGTTACGAGAATGAGCATAGGCCATAAAAATTCCGGGTTTCTTTCATGTATTTCCCGGAAAAGCCAAAAAACCTCGAAAAAATTCAGTTTTTGGCCCATATCTCGGCAACCAGACCACTTAGCGACTTGAAACATGTACCAATCGATTCCTGTCATAATTTAGAACAATATTGCCGAAGAAAGTTTTCAAAAATATTCTCACGTTCGGTCACAAATTTTAAAATTACATAAACACCTACAAACCGATTGTTCTTCTAGCTTGAACGCACCCCAACATTATACGTCAGAGCTATTTTTAGATAACATAAGGAAATTGCGCACAAATGTCACTAGACTTTTTTAATTAACTTGTTTTTTCTAATTACATTTGAAACCTTAAGACATTGACATTAAAACATTATTTACATAACTTAATGTAAATTATATTTAGTAAAAGACAGCGTGGTCGAATGGTAGAGCGTTTGGAGGCTAGCCCGAATGTTTTGAATTCAAGTCTCGGTTCGGACTCGCAACTGTAGGACATCCCTGAGTCCACTCAGCTCTGATGAGTACCTTACTTAAGTTGGGGAAAGTGAAGGCGGCTGGGCATATTGCTGACCACACCATCGCTTTATATGTCGAAGTCAAGAAACATTATGAACTCTTCTTCATCTGCCTAATGGATCGGTAGATCTAAAGAGTAGTGTGTAGCTGTTTTTGTCCGTATCACTGCAGGAGTTATGATTCAGATTATCTCCAATATCTTATTATCAGCATAAAATACTTTATATACGCTATGCTTGTAAATAAAGAGCATACACATATCACCAATATGACTCCAATTAACAAACGACCTTGTTGTACATAAAGAAAATCACCTGTGGATCTTTAGCCAGGATAACGAATTATCACCCAGTAGTGATTTGACATGATATGAAGTGTCCAGGTAAAAACCATTGACCCATCCTCAAGGCGTATTGGAAATCTGAGTTTGGACAACCTAAAAGTGACCACCGCTCACCACCACTAATCAATCATCACAGTAAAGGTTCGATTCCTCGCCTCAATCTCAGCTTCGATTCTCAGTAGACTTTTTAAAAAATGTGTAACCCGTCTAAATTGTATTGCCTCTCTAAGTTGCGCCTCGACAACCTTCTATATCATTGTTTCTTGCGGACATTTTCTCCAGGAGGAGGGGGAAAGGGGGCACTTGTAACTTTCGGTTAGGGAGGGGCGGGCGGACTTAAATTTCCGGGGGTGGCGGAGAAGGTGGCGGCGGACACTGGTAACGTAGGCCTATTTATTTTAAAAAACAACAATAAAATATTAGTCTATATATTGTTTTCTATGTCCGGCTGTGGGGCATTGGTTTCAACCCCCCCCCCCCCCCTTCCGATGCGATGGTTGAAAGGAACTCTGCCTTCTATGTTTAGGCAAATCAATTTCCGGTCAACTTTCTGGACTTTGTTTTCTTCTCATGAAGGCCCATACACCTTACAGGTAGCAGACATTTCAAAACTCGCCTGCCTAGGATGTCTTTCAAATAATTTTCCAGGAGGGAGGGAGGGGGAAAGGAGGGGATGCTTAAAACTTCCAGTGGGAGGGGGCTGATTCTGGCTAAAGTATAGGCTATATTTTGTACATAATAAGGCCTATTTTTTGGTTAGGCTATTAGATTAAATTGGTTAAAATATATTTTTTTTCTGTATCAATTCACTTTTTTTTTCCAAATTCGCACGGCAGCGGGGAATGCTTAAAAAAATTCTTGTGTCGTAGTTGAGAGGGGGCGGTTCATAGTATTATCGTTTAATTACTAATATATACAATGTAGACCGTATTGTTATGTAGCTTATGTGGTAAAGGCGGATAAAATATATTTCATACTTAGTGTTTTGGCCAGGGGCGGAACTACAGTGCCGCCAGACCCCTCAATGCGGGGGGGGGGGGGGGGGAGGGCACGCCATTTAGGGGCCCATAGCCGACCATAATAATTTTGTTTATAGTTAATTTCTTTTTTAATTTTCTTGCATTTTTGACTTGATTATACTTGATGGTTATTTTGTAATAAAGATTATCGAAGCGGTTGGATTATCTTTATTCTATAGACACCACCCCACGGGGATTGATCAAGTGCAAATGTTGTAGGTATTTTACGGTTAAGCTTTGAGTATTATAATTGTTCATTAAATTGAAACAGGCGCGTCCGCCGGCGCCCCACCAGAGTTCAATTTGGCGCTCTGTGCTATCCTGTGAGCGCTATGGTGCATAATTTCGCTTTAAACAGTGCGATAGAGTATGGATAAGAAAGGTTACTATAGTCTTTAAGTGAATCGAATCCGGGCGTCCTCTGGTGCCCAGATAGAGTGCTATTTGGGGCCCCGGGCCTCCCGTATTCGGTTTGGCGCCTACGTTCGTTTAAGTGAGTGCAAAATACTATGAATAAGTTGGGGTACTATAGTCGTTTATTAAGCTGAAACAGGCGATTCCGCCCCGGGCTAGACTGTGAGCACTTTGCATTTATGTTCGCGTTAGTGTTTTATTTGTGTTTAGGTTGGGTTTGCGTTAGTGGTTGCGTTTTGATTTGGTTCGTATTTGTTCTTTCTTTTTTCGTTTTCGTTTGTGTTTTTTTCTTTGGGTTTGTATTTGTGTTTGTGGTTGGTTTTGCGTTTGGATTTGGTTTGTTTTCGTTTGCTTTTTCATTTGTGTTTTTTTCTTTGGGTTTGTGTTTGTGGTTGGTTTTGCGTTTGGATTTGGTTTGTTTTCGTTTGCTTTTTCGTTTTTTTTTCTTTGTGTTCGTATTGGTGTTTGTGGTTGTGGTTGGGTTTGTTGTTAGGTTTTTGTTTTCGTTTGCTTTTTTGTTAGTTTTTTCTTTGTGTTTGTATTGGTGTTTGTGGTTGTGTTTGTTGTTAGGTTTTTGTTTTCGTTTGTATTTGTAATTGTGTTAGCGTTATGTTTGCGTTTTGTTGTTTTGGTTTTGGTTGGTTGTGGTTTGGGTGGGCAATGCCGGGTTTATGATGATTACTAAACACACAGGTAATGGTCTTTAACAGAAAGGTTTTTCACAGAAGCCAGAGCAGGGCCTGGCCGGGACGGCTAGTATATATATATATATATATATATATATATATATATATATATATATATATATATATATATATATATATATATATATATATATATATATATATATATATATATATATATATATATATATATATATATATATATATATTTATATATATATGCCTATATATATGTGGGCAGAGCCGGCGTTAGGGGTACGCGGGGCCTAGGGCCAACCATCCGCGCGGGGCCTTATATTTTTCCATTGGTGTCTAAATCATGTACAGTGAGGCGTTTTTTTCCTTCTCAACGCGAATTAATATTTATAACGATATATATGGTATTTTTAAGCTGCTTATTAATGTCGTATATTAGTTTTAACATAAAGGCACTGATTAAAAAATAATGTGTTTACTTAGAAGCTCTTTTGAAACGTTGCTTGTTTCAGTTAAAGCTTTTTGTTTGAAAAATAAAATAAAAATAAAACTGATGTAAGTTCGAGACACGCATTAAAGAGACGATGAACGTCAGCTTCATACTTGATTTTTTACATTAATGTTTATTTATGAAAATATTACCAGTACGTTCACAAACGAAGATCTACTTTTCTTTCCTTTCGTGAGAAAAATTCTTTGGTTATATCATCATAGTCCTTTTTCTATTGACAGAATCGACAGGCCGCAGAGCCTGTCTTGGGACATCGTTGATACATGCTCCCAATTTCCCGGATCGTATATATCTCTTACGATAATTGGGAATGAATTATTTTCGTCAGAATCATTTTCAGAATGGCCGCTTGATTTGTCCCTATTGTCGAAATTCGTGGTGTTTGCAGCTGACAATACATGACTCGAGGATTCATTATTACCGTCACCACCACAAATGGTAGTATTCTCATTGTAGTCCTTTTCGTTACGTTCTACATTTGCGACATTGAAATCCAAAACCAAATCAAAAAGTTTTTGTTGTTTAACGACTTTCTTTGGATAGTGTATGTGCTTGTCTAACGCGCCTGCTTGTGTTTTATCTGTGCGGCGTCAAAACGGCCAATGACAAGACGGCCCCATCAAAACGACCCCGGCAAATCGGCCCCGACAAATTGACCCCGTCAAAAGGGCCAGCGACATATGGACCCCGTCATATAGGCTCCCGACAAATAGGCTCCCGTCATATAGGCTCCCGACAAATAGGCTCCCGTCATTTAGGCTACCGACAAATAGGCTCCCGTTATATAGGCTCCCGACAAAAGGGCTCCAGTCAATAAGGCTCCTGACAAATAGGCTCCCGTCATTTTGGCTCACGACATATAGTCTCCCGTCATTTAGTTTTTTCCACAAAACGGCCCCCGTCATTACGACTCCCGACAAATAGGCTAGCGTCATTTTGGCTCACGACAAAAAGGCTCCTGTCAATTTGGCTCCAGACAAAAGGACCACTGACAATACCGTTTCTGTAGAGACTAAGTCTCCCGGCAAAGCGGTCTCATTGAATATGAACATTTACACTTCTATGCTCGCTTTTAAGCAACAGATCTTTTCTGTTGTAAATTAAACATTATCAAAACTTTAGAATTGGTGGAATTCAGCTGTAAAGGGCTCGATTTGTTTGTGAATTAATATTGGTTCATGAAAAACAATTTAATTTTGAAGCAACGTTAAATCGATCCACAGTGGCGGGTGATAGTAACGATATTTTCTCATTTTATCGAGTGTTAACAGTGGCATTCAAAGTGTGTGGATGCCTGGAAAAATAGCCAAACATTGATAGATTTTGGACCAAGCTCGAATCGTGAAAAAGCACTGTTTACGGCTATAGATATCCAAATGAAATGACTCTCAAATGTAATCACGGATGCTCGGTGGGGTGGGGTGGAACACTGGGGTGGGTGACAGTTGGTGGGGTGATGTAAAGGATAACTGTACATTTAAATCTATGGGATGCCAAACCCTAAAAAAAATCAATTCGGGTACTACGTTACTGGATCTCTGACCGCAGCCATTCAAGAGGTGTGTGTTTATAGAGCGTCCACGTATTACATTACAGGTTAAGACCGCGTTCTCACAAGAGAAGGTTCGTGCCTATAGTTAGAAAGTGAACCATGTGACAGCCAGCTTCGCCTTATTTATGAGTTTCGCGACGGCATGCTCGGACTGCCGGTAATTTAGACATTTGATGAATCAGGAGAACTTTACCATAAAACAGTCTCGGCCCGATGTATCAAACAGTATAGACTTTATAATTTATTTAGTGTGCCTATACTATTTTAAAACAAGAATCACTATGGTCTTAACTATTATACTGAATATCCCTACAATTAATTAAAATAAACATGTGCTTAATCACTTTACGAATACCGTTAAAGTTTACCAAAATCAATGTGGACATAATTACTGTATAAATGCCCTTCAAAAATATAAAAATAAATACAAGTATAATGTATTTAAAGATGACCTGACAATATATAAAATGAATATGTACATAATTACTGTATGGATGCCTAACAAACGTATCGTAGTGTATAAGCATAATTACACAAAAGATGCTCATACAGTGTATATATTATGATTTTAAGGATAAATACTCTGGATGTCCGGGGCATGTCCCCATCCGCTCTCCCCCCCCCCCCCCTCCTCTGCAAGCCATCACCAGGTCACTGACTGTTTACTACAGGCACCCCCGCCTGCTCACTAAAAAAAAACGTCTTCAACGGTCCGCATACAATAAGGTATCTCATTACCTCCCATGTCAGGTCGGGGGCTAATTCGCGACCGCCTTCTCCAGTCACCTCAGGACAATTGCGAGTCGACCGTGCTAACGATGTGTGACACTAATGTCTTCGTATCGAAAACGGCCTGTCACAGTCCATGTAGAGGATAACTCACTAACATCAGCCATGGCCTCAGTTTTAACATCCAACAACTTCGGCCATTTAGTTGTTGTTTTTTTTTAATTTAATTCAGCAAAGATTATTTAAGTTTACAAACTAATTCAGACAATAATGACGGTGCTGAAGCGCGGGGCCCCTTCAAGCGCGGGGCCTGGGGCGACCGCCCCGTTTGCCACCCCCTAACGCCGGCTCTGTGTGTGTGTGTGGGGGGGGGGGGGCCAGTGTTTCTTCCAGACTTTTTTCTCCGGGGGGGCACTTGAAATCTTCGGGGGGGCGGTAAACTTTCTTCGGGGGGGCGGACACTGTTAAAAGTATATATTTTCTATATAAATTATATAAATTTTATTTCGTTCGGGGGGGCGGTAAAAATTTTTCGGGGGGGCTTCGCCCCCCCCGAAGAGATGCCTGGAAGAAACTCTGGGGGGGGGGGGGGCTATAAAATGTTTTTGCGGGGTGGCCCTTTTTTTCTAGTTCAGCCACTGGTTTTGGCGTATAAGCCTATTAATTGTAGCCTACAAATTTCTAATATGATAGCATTTGCATCTGTTGGTAGGCATAATAAATAACGTAATTATGATTTTCGTATTGAACGAAACTATTTTATAAAAGTAAATAATAGGCCTACTTAGCAAGTTTTAGCATGCCATTCAGAAGGAGGGAAGGTAAGGGCGTAACTGTTGCAATTTACATGTCGTGACGAGAATAATAAGCCCCCTTTATTTAGACAGATGTCGCTTTTACAGAATCAACCAATACCATACTAGCCGGGAAGCAAAAATTTAAGATGGCCGTATAAACAAAATTGTTGTAATGTAGTCGATGTAAAATTTCTTGCTAGTTCAGACATCACAGTTCACAGTTCTTCTTAGCATTACTTAAAATGCATAATACATCATGGTCAAAGACATTACGGGATTTTCTAAAAAAGAAACAAAGTAAATCATATTTGTATAGACCTAATATTTTGTCATTCATTTTTTGTTTGTTTGTTGTAACTTAATTTACTTAACAATTTGTTTGTAGTGTCGTGTTGTAGTCGTACAGTGTTTCTTCCAGACTTTTTTCTCCGGGGGGGCACTTGAGATTTTCGGGGGGGGGGGGGGGGGGTAGACTTTCTTCGGGGGGGGGGGGGGGCTGACACTGTTAAAAGTAAATATTTTCTAGATCTATATAAATTATATAAATTTTCATTTCGTTCGGGGGGGGGGGGGGGGGGGGGGGCGGTAAAATTTTTTTGAGAGATGCCTGGAAGAAACTCTGTAGTCATAGTGTAGGTAGAGTGTACTCACAGTGTACTGTGTAGGCCCAAATTTTTTTTTTCTAGGCTAGATCTAGAAAAAAGATCTAGATCTAGAGTCTAGATCTAAATTGTGAAATAGCATTTTCAGTGTGATCAGCAATTCAATTGCATTCTAGATCTAGATTTCTAGAATCTAGATTAGATCTAGAGTCTAGATCTAGATCTAATTCTGCAAACTTTGAACACCACCTTGCAGATTTTTAAAATGACTTTAGTTTTTACATTTTATTTGAGACTTACTTTGCTTATCAATGCTGATGTTGGCCGTGCCTTTATAGAAGTTACATTGAAATATGCAATCATATTCGTAATATAAATGTAGAGGTAGAAAAGGGTGTGAATTGGACAAGAGAAAATATTTATTGAAAAACACCTTTAAAAAAAATATTATTCAAGTTTGATTGTAACTCATGTTTTAAGGCTGAGACAAAAACAAAAAAAACTTAAAATTTTTTTTATTTACACACCATTTGCTTGTGACAATCCATTTATTGTGTGGTGCTGCTAATTTTTTTCTTTTAACACCTCTAGATAAACATCAAACTAAGACTACAAAAGAAGAAGAATTGGAAATTTTTACAAATGTATACAAACAATTTAAAGGTCTTGACAGCGACCACAAAAATGTACCTAGTCTATATTCAAAAGTAAGAAAATGATACAAACACTAATGAAAATAAACATTTATTCCCTTATTTATAGGTGCTTTTTTACTTTGTCCATCACTTTACTTAATAAAGTGTAAGATTTATTTTTATAATTATTCATTTGATTCAAAATGTTAACTTATTACTATCATTATTTCCAGCTTCCATCTGAAGATGAACCATTGCTTATGAAACTAAGGGAAGAGTCTAGGTAACTTAATATTTGTTGTATATTTCTCTTGAGATCATTTTGATAGTAATAATTACTGCTGCCCCATTTTTATTACATGAAGAAAAATGTTTAAAAATTAAAAAAGGAATATTATTACCTGGTTAGAAATCCGTTGTTTATATTATATAAGGCCTCAAGCTATAATTATATCCTATTAATTATGGACATCTCTGAGTCCATCTAACTCTTAAATATGGGTTTCTAACTAACGTTAGGGAACTAAATTACTAAGGCAACTAAGCACAGTGCCAACCACATGTATGCCAAGGTCATTGAAACAGATGAACTCTACTTTATCTGCTCCATTAGTCTCGGGGATAAATGGGAAATAAATGAAAATAATGTAAATAGCTATCCGATCCCTGCTTTTTAAATACTTATCTTGACAGAATGTTTCGATACGATTTTCAGAGCTTTATTTCTTCAAAGAAGGAGTAGGGAACTACTAGACAATGATGAACTTCAGGTATCTGGTTTTTTCTTTTTTTTTTGTTAGAGTTTTCTTCATTATATAAAGTGTACGTACATGATGATTGTTATAATAATTTAACATCTTGGAAAGAGATGACTAATTAATATGATGCGTCTTCAGAAACTTTGGTTTTTATTGGACAAACATCACACACATCCACTGAATGGCGATGAGCAGATGATATCTTATGAAGACTTTCTCAAAGTGCAAGAAGAGGCCGGATCCAAGTGCAAGTAATTGAAAATTCTATTTTATTTACTTAATTTCAGGTTTTGTCTGGAATAAATCTGAGCGGTCATAAATTATTTTTTGTTTAACTAAATACGATTAAGACTTTATCTAAGTTTGATTAAATGTATTCTCCATTTTACTTTTGTTTTAGAAATTTAAAAAAATGTATGCTTGTTTATGAAAGTTTAATTTACTTTGAATTTGTTATAAGGCCCACCCTACATTTAAGTTATAATTATAATCCTAATATTAGGATTGGGGGAGCGAGAATAGTGTTGCAGCCTAGGAGCCAAAAGGTTAATAAATATTTTAACAATTTGTTTTTTCTGTTCTAGACCTTTCTTTCAAGCATCAGTATTTTGTAAGCTGCTCCAGAATGACCCATATGGTAGAATATCCATCATGCAATTTTTCAATTATGTCATGCGCAAAGTTTGGCTTCATCAGACTCGTATTGGTTTGTCTCTCTATGATGTTGCTGGCCAAGGCTACCTTAAAGAGTCGGTTAGTTCACGAAACTTCTTTTCATTTAATATTTTTCATATGTAACTTTTTTTGTCGTTAATGTTATTGATTTATGAATTATGTCTGATGTTTAAACTACTTACATTTTTACCTTTACAGGACCTAGAAAATTACATTTTAGAACTGATTCCCACACTACCCCAGGTAATAAAAAAAATAATGTAGGTGTAAGATTGTACTATTTTTATTATTAACCTATTGTATATTCTAATAGTTGTTTTTTCTACTTTCAGCTCAATGGACTTGAAAGGTCATTTTACTCATTCTATGTTTGCACAGCTGTTCGTAAGTTTTTCTTCTTTCTTGATCCCTTGAGGAATGGGAGGATTCGAATACAAGACATTCTTGCCTGTAGTTTTTTGGATGATCTGCTTGAGGTAATTGCGTTTAGTTTTAAAAAAATATTTTTAGCTTCATTTGTATTAACTTGTTTTCTTTTTGTTATATCTTTTAAAATGTTTTTTTTAATTTATTAAATCCATTTCTAGTTAACCTTTTTTTATTTTTGATAATGTTTTGTATAAGCCTATAGTATAGATTTCATTATAATTTTTTAAATAACATTTTCAGTTGAGGGATGAAGAATTATCTAAAGAAATGCAAGAATCTAATTGGTTTTCAGCACCATCTGCACTCCGTGTTTATGGCCAGTATCTGAATCTTGATAAAGACAGAAATGGGATGCTGAGTAAAGAAGAGCTAGCTAGGTAGTGTTGTTATTGAATATGTGGAAACTCTATTTTCAGGGAAATGTGTGTACTAAAATGTGTTGAATGTCTATATAACTTGTTCACGTAATACTAGATATTATAGTAGATAACCTTGGTCAACTTAATGCAATCATTTAAAGATCAGCACACAAGGATACAAAAGTGATAATGCTTTATTAAAACTCACTAGACTGGTTATTAATATAGCAAATCCATTCTTTAGATGTTGTAAAGATAATTGCTGCTATTGCTGTTTTGTTTTTCATTTTTATGATCATTTAGTCATAATGCATTTTATATTAGGATTAATTTCACATATATTGGATTCCTTGATTGAATTATCTATACTTCATTGTTTACAATTTTGTTTTCTTTAATCAGGTATGGTACTGGAACATTAACTGATGTATTTTTAGACAGAGTCTTTCAAGAATGTCTCACTTATGAGGGTGAAATGGTAGGGACTCTGTTTTAAATAGTTTTTGAGCTATAGAAACTGTTTAGATTGCATTTAAACCAAACAAGGATTTAGTTAAACATCAAAGTTTTACTTTTTTTCTTGCAGGACTACAAAACATACTTAGATTTTGTTTTAGCCATGGAAAATCGCAGGGAGTCTCAAGCTCTAAGGTACTTGTTCAGAATACTAGATGTCCAGCACCAGGGTCACCTTAATGTATTCTCACTCAACTTTTTCTTCAGGGTGAGCTTGAATTTTTTTATTGCGTTTTAAATTTCTTTTAGAATAGCTCAAATTTCCAGAAACTTTTACAGTTAGAGCAGTAAACGGATGATGATGTTTTTTAGAAAGCCATTTCTATATAGAGGTGCAACTAAAATAAATTTAATTAATTATAAAGCTTATATCTGTAACAATTTTTTTGGTAACTAGGATAATGACTTGACTATACATGAAACTTGTTCTAAAGCTAAATTCCAATTTTTGGTCCCATTGCAAAACCAATATGGCAGGAAACAGATTTGTACCGCAAAATGCATATTCGGTCTTCGCCGTTCATAAACTTTCTAACCAGACATCGTTCGGGGATTTTGTTTATACTGATAAATAGAGCAAGGTTTTTACAAGCTTCGTTAGCAACATTTTTGTGGAATTCGTTTTTTATGACATTTTGTGCCGCGGCGAAGGATGCGAAGTATGCAAATCTAGACGGAATGGATCTACTTGGAAAGTACGTGTACTGCACTAATAAGGTAAGAAATAATATTTTGTAAAAATAACTATTATTTTTTTATGGATTTTTCATTAGAAATGATTGCTGTAAATTATGAAAGTAAAAAAAAGTATGTTTGAATGCGTTTTTTACTTTAATTTGAACAAAATGACTGCCGAAAATTACGACACATCGGCGTCGCTGAAAGCGGGAATTTCAGTTAATTTTTTACGGATATAAAATTGTATTTTTTTACTCCGAAGCATGTATTTAAATAACAGTTAAGTTAAATCTATTTAATTCTGTAAAATATAATTATTATTTTGCCGTAGATACTTTTTTTTTTATTTTTAATGATTTTCTGTCGCGGAAAATCGGTCTTCGCACCATGCACGCACACGTAGTAAAACTAGACTTATCTTTAAAACACGAGAATCTTGAGTACACTGCGAATAACAAAGTTTTTAAATGTTAGTTTACTTTTGACTTTAAGCCATTTGTTTTAAATCGAAATTAATTGATAATGTAATTATTTCAAAGTAAAAACTTTCCGTCTGAAATTGGCTTCTAACCTTCGCCACTGAACCAGCTTACGCACGACATTCGCGCGAGTCTGTTTCTTCGCAATAGTCTGTATAGTGTCGAGGGCTAATCCTAAAAAGAACCGAGTCCTCACTAATGTAATGTTTATTAAAATTAGGTACAATTGTTGGAACACATGAGAAATAACAAATTTAAATTTCTTCAAATCTATAGCCAAAAGAAAGTAGAACTTTATAACTCTGTAAATTATGAATCGAGTGACGGCTGTCGTGAAAACGGGAGCCATTGTACTCTTTTTTTTATGGTGACCTACTTTTATTATATAAATTTAAAATTCGAAGATCTGATAAGCAGCTGAGTAGCTGAATACGCATGCGATATGGCTGGCACGTTTTGGGATAGGGATCGAGTACACCGTAGAATTTTTTTTTCTTAGAACTACGCGTATTTTTTTTTTAAATCAAAAGATACTTACATATTAGCTGTGGATTTCAATTTCATTACAGAACTAATCACTAACTTTAGTTTTTAAAAGTGATTTTGCTTCTAGATCTAGCGTATTTTCAAAATTACGTAGATTCTAGATCTAGATCGATTTTACTATTTCACAAACGTGTCAGTAAAATGAGGTCACCGCTTCCAGATTCTTAGGTTTTAATTATGTTTGTCATTTTGATCTATTATAAGTAGCATTAAAACGACTGCATCTATCATCAACATTGTTTTTATAGGCCAGTTCTAATGATACATTCTGTTCATTACCAATTCTAATGAAATCGTATCAGGCCCTAACACCCTGTTCACTGACACCACACTATTTGAATGAGGCCACAGACAGTCGTAACTTTAAATTAATTTATAAAGTACTAAACAATTATAATTAGCCATGTAAATGCTGCAACTATAATAAAAATTGGCATATAGACATAATTTACTAATAATATTTTTTATATAGACCTTCTATATTTAACTCTGTTATTTTTTTCTTCCCCAGAGTGTTTTTAAAGCCAGAATTTTGAACATTTTTTAAAGGGGATAGCGGTCGTTTTTTTTTTCAAGAATAATTATAGAAATAAGCTATAAACTGGTATATTTTGTAAAGTTTGACATAATTACAAATAAATTTATGCCTAAGTGACATTTCTGTGTAATTATATTGTTAATTTTGTGAATTTCGTGGATTTTAGACCTTACAACATTTAGATGTAAAAAAAAAATGTCATTTGAGTGAGTGTGGTTAATCTAAATTTTGAACGTGATGTAAATGTCTAGTGCTATTAATTTTTATATTTTTGAATTCCTCGATTGTTAAGCAACAAAATTGATATATAATATGTCAATATTTGTTACTTTGAAAATTGGCGAAAATCGACCCTAAAAGTAGATGTTTGAGAGTTGAATCTGTTTCCTGTCATATATGTTAGGTATAAAAAAAACCTGTATGTATATATCCTTTCTGACCTTATGGTCAGTAGAGCAAATAATATAGAGGTCATAACATTCGTCTCTGTGACCAAATGATTTAGAGGTCATAACATTAGTCTCTGTGACTTCGGCATGTGAAGGTATAGTGTTATCAGTTCTATGTCCAGCAATCTTAATTTTCCTAAACATGAAAGCTTTGCGGCTCTGACATTTTACAGTTTAGCTACAGTGTGCTTCATCACCTAACCATGCCATCTCTCAAGTAACACACTTTTTATTCACTAGGCTATTCAAGAACAGATGAAAATCCATGGCCAAGAGCCAATCAAATTTCAGGATGTCAAAGATGAAATTTTTGATATGGTTAAGCCTAGGAATCCTTTGAAGATCACACTTAATGATTTAATTAATAGGTTAGATGCCTTTTTTGTGTATATTTAATTGATTACTATAAGATATTCTTGGAAGATCACCTGATTTCATTAAAAATGCAGTAAATATAAGAATACACTATATACTTTGAAAATCCGTTTTTAAAAATTTATTATTTCTATGTCCACAGTGGCAAAGGGGATACAGTAGTGAGTATTTTGATTGACCTCAATGACTTTTGGACCTATGAGAATAGAGAATATCTTATCCCTGATTTGTCTGATGAGGTGTGACCCAGGCAAGGGTTAGCTGGTATTGTCCATCATTATGTAAACACCATTTTCAACCATGTCAGACAAAACTTCTACATATGTAAATCTGTTTTTTTTTCAGACAAAAGACTGTTGTTATTTGACATTTAACATTCCTTCATACTTACTAGGACCTTAATTAATTCTGTGCTGATACAATCATGTGTCTTTTTTTTTTTAAATAATCAAATGAGATTGTGAAATGTATACTTCTTCCCTTTTATAAAGTTAATTTAATATTTTTTTAATGTCCCTATGCATATATTTTTTCATCTTTTGTTTTACTAGTCACAATGCTAAAGTAAAAGCTAAATAAAATATAAAGGAATTATAATAATTCTGTAAAATCACAAGCACTAGTAGTAACTTTTGTGTTTAGTTTCAATGGAAGTAGTTAAATACATTTCATTCAAGTCGTTACATTTCAATTGTTTGCTCATCACTGTAACTGTGTGGGATCATGTTTGAGATATTTGCAAGAGACATTGTATGTATCACAGGATCTGATGTTTGTCAATAAAAACTTGCGTTTTTAATTTCTGATGTGTGTTGTTAAATTACTTTTTGCTGTACATTGTAAAAATTCTTATACATTGTATTAGAAATTTGTCGGTGTTAACAAGGAAATATTGGTTTTACAATAAGGTACTTAAGTAACCATATTATTTTCTCCATTTAATGCTTTTAGATGTGTTTCTCTTGTATTTGCAATATTGGTTGAAGAGTGTAAAACTTAAATGAATGTTCAGCTGTTCTAATTGTTAATCCACATTGGTTTTAAGAAAAAATAAATATTGAATACCTTTTGTTCAACATTGTTTATGTATTACTATACTATCTGATCACCCACAGTCATCAATATTCAGCAAGTAAAAGTACCTTAAAACTGACAGGAAAGGCGAAGAACTGATATAATTAGTATTTGACCACATGGGTACCTATACGAATTGAAGCAGTGTCCCAGTGTGTGTTGCAGGGTTGCAGACTGTACCAAGTGACGCTAGAGTCTATTGCAGACTTAATGTCCACTTTGTTCCACTAAACTAATTTACAGGAAACACAGGGGTGACACCATCGTAAATAGGGTGAGACCAATTGACCTACAGTATTAGAACGTGTCTAAACATCAGTTATAGTACCAGGTGTCACTTGACCAAGTGATGAAACCTACTTGGAGGATGACCTATGCATTCACATGAGCTACATCACAACATCCTGTCCAGTAATGAATGTGAGATCAATATTGATTGTCAAACATCAAAGCCCACAAATGGATAAAATAGGCCTACTTACACATTAAAAATTAACAGGGTTGTGGGATTAATAAATTTGGTCCAGATACAATTTTGTTAGCTACAACTACAACACTCATAAAGGCAAACACTACAAAATGTTTTAATTATCTGAATAATGCGAACTCGAGGTATGTGTTATAACTGATTTATTTTGTGCAAATATTACTGTATTTTTTAACTATAAATACAAAATTTGTTCAAAATAACTATAACATTTTTTTTACATTAAATCAAGTATCATGTGGTCATTATGTAAAAATTATTTTATGGACAATAAAAATCATCAAAGTACAGGACCAATTGTGTTTTGAGCATTTAACTAACTCCTTCCATGATGTAGCAGTGAGACCTTTCATATGGCATCTTAAGACCAAAAGTTGTAAGTCGAAGCTGAAACTACAAGGATGGGCTACACCTGGAGTCAAGTTGAGAAAATGGGACAGGGTTGCATATTACAATTTCTTAAAAAACAATTTACTTTTCCTATAAGTATAAGCTACTTATTTATTCCTAGATGGCACATTCAAAATTACTAGGATATAATAGCAAAGAATTTCATTTGTAAAATAGAAATCACATAATGCTTTTCTTTTGGGATGTTGCATCCACTCTCTCCATTGTCACAAATGTTACACCCCCCCTCCATAATGATGTCACACTTCAGTCCATGCCAAAATATTCTTGTTTTAATTTTTTTAAAACAGCTATTTCTTTTGAAAATACTAAGTGAGCTGGCTAACGTTAGGTATATTGATCCATCTGCAAAATGAGTTTTTATAAAATAAAAAAACAACTACAAAAATAACTTTATATAACTTTATAACATGTGTGTGGTGCCACACTTCCTGACATGCCCCCCCCCCCTCTCAGAGTGAAATCATCTATGGATGATTGCTATAAATTTCATAGGTTTCTAACAATAATTTAATATATATTACAACTATTGTAACATGTTTTGTCTACTCTAATATAATGCAATTATCAATATCACTAAAACATCACAATAATAAAATTCTAAGAAACAAATATTATATACAGTAATAATTTGCCTCCCATCCTTTGATACTAGATAGAAAATAAACAGAATTTAAAAAAAAAAAAAACTTATTTTACTAATACAAGATTTAGCCTTTCTATGCCCTTTAGCATTTTTTAAAATAACTGCTGATATATCCAACAGACACACTGAATGGTCAACAGACAGGCTACACTACATGTAAATGGGCATGTAAATCTACAGTAAGTAAATTAATAAACAATTGTACACAAATTAAATATCAATTCAAAGTCCAAGTATTTTTTATAAAAATACTGCCTTGATATATCTTCATTTTTTTTTCAACAAATACTAAATTGCATAAAAATGAAATAGGTAAATACTTTGTATAAAAAAACCTTCTTAATACAACTTAGTTAAATTATATTCTTCAACAAATATTGTACATAATTTACATTAACATGTTTGTATGGAGCTATATAAATATGGCAACCTTTCAAATGATGTACACATGCAACATGAATTATTATAGATAGGGGATTCATATGGCACAGTTAACTGACTCATTTATAACACAGTTCTACATGATAGATTAAAGATGAAATATCAGTCATGTATTATTACACTATTCAAACCGATTTTCACTCACTGTGTAAAGGGGACAGCTAGGTTAAAATTATAAACCACAGTACAAAAGTAATTATAGCAGACAGCTACTTAAGTACAGTGTATATTTACAAAAAGGATATTATATTATGAATAAATAATTTTAAAAACGAACCTATTAATCAATCAACTAACCTTGTTAACATAAATAAAAAAATAACATGAACAGATCTGACTATCAGATAAGAATTTTAGATGAATTATTTTACCATGTTAATATTCTAATATATGATTTAAAGTGAATTTGTTTTTTAATTCAATTTCAAGTGAGAACCAAAATGTTAGATTTAATTTTAAAAAATACAATGTATCAACTAAATTACATTTTCTAACAATATTACAACTTAAAAAAATAATTACAGAGAAAATAATTTTAAAGTGTAATACGCAAATATTAAGAGACAAAATGAATTGAAATGTTTTTCAGCATGTAATAGCCAAAATATAACACTTTAAATGAAGGTCACACCATAAAAGAGACAAGTGTAACAAAAATATGTTGGAATAAATAATACTACTACTAAGATTTATTAATATTAATTGCATTCTTCTGTTAATATTTACCTGCTCTCAACAGGCTGTATGTATTACAGAAACAGCTGATCAGTTAAAATATCAACCTTATTAATGATTAAACGTTATAGTTTGAGCCCTAAATGTCTTCAAATCCCGGGTATACCCCAATATTAAGAACTATTCACCGCTTGTAGCATCACATGAAGTATTATTATTGGGAAGTGTGTTATCAAGGATGCTGCTGTTGTTTATAGCCACATTCTTTGCTTGTTCCACTGTGTTTGTGTTTGTTATGTTGCTGCCTCCCTCATTGATGGACACTTTATTAGTCTTCTCCACAATTGACTTGTTGTTATTATTTATGATCCTATTGAAGAAACAAAATATTCAGAAGCACAAATTGAGAAGAAAAAACAGATCAATTATTACAATACTACTTTTAAGAAGTAGTTTACATTGCTAAAACAAGTTAATAAAAAGTCTAGTGACAATTTAAGCGCAATTTCCTTATGTTATCCATAACAATTTTAAATCGAGATAAATCATATATTCAGCAACGGTGCCCAAATACTAAAACGTTAATATCAGTATTTGACTATGATTAAAACCCGCTCTCTTATTTGTAAACATTAGCACGTGGAAAAAAACGAGCGACGCATAGCTCGCCTCTCTCTCTCTTGCCGCGCACAGTGACGCGAACGATCCCACGTCGCAACAGGCTAGCCTCCCGTATGAGTCGAAAAAAAATCCTTTCGAATCTCCGCTCATTCGCTATGGTAAAATCCTTTCGAACCTCAGCGCTTTGCGCTAAATCATCCTAGGCCTACACGATGCTCAGTTTAAAAATTCTTAATTAATTTTTTGTGGCCGAACAAAAGGATATTTTTGAAAACTTTCTTCGGCAATATTGTTTTAAATTATGGCAGGAATCGATTGGTAAATGTTTCAAGTCGCTAAGTGGTCTGGTTGCCGAGATATGGGCCAAAAACTGCATTTTTTCGAGGTTTTTTGGCTTTTCCGGTAAATCCAGGAAGGGATTCCGGGAATTTTTTTGGCCTATGTTCATCCTCGGAACTTGCTTAACATATTTGCTTTGGAACTAGTCCTCGATATTGCTTCGTTGAGGAGGAGATACGACTTAAAGCTGCGGACACGCTGCGGACACACATCCATACATCCATCCATCCAGAAATGACGAGTTAATAATCGCAATCCCCCAGTATGGAAATTGCGCTAAAAAAGGCAATGTTATTTAATATGATCAACATGGTCAAGCACAAAATAATTCCGCATCAACCGATTGGTCATGTTTAAACTTAAAACATCCTAAAAAACAAAGATTATGTTTTTTCTGAAATTGAATAAATATAACAAAAGGCACACACTATTGAAGACTATGATCTCACAAAGGAAGTAAGAAAAACTGTGATAAAATTGCTTTACTCACAAATTTTGAATGTTTGCGCAAGAGAAATCAAAGGTAGGGCTGTTGGATGTTAAATACAGGTTTTGTACCGATTCCATTTTAACTGGCGGTTCATTTACTGGCCCACTAAAAGAAAAGAAATAAAAATTGGAGTAAAAAAAAAACAACCAACAATCAATAATTGACACACACAAAAAAAACTTTTTTTAATTAACTTAATTAAGTAACATAATTATAAAAAAAGGGTTTCAGGATGTACGTTGCTAAGCATGCTTAAATAAACCGGGAGTGATCTCCCCTAAACTTTCTCGAATATTCTTATATAAAATAATAGGGGATGGGAACTCGGGCTATAGACATGATTTTTAATCCATTTAAATACTTAAAGTTTTAAAAATAGAATAAAATCTCGTAGACAAATTAATTGCACACTCAAAAGTTGATACGGATCTACGATTTTGATAAAATACTTATATATGAAATTTCATCAACCTAGCTGTAACGGTACTCAAGTAATCGTGTTTACACACAGACACACACACACACAGACATACGGACAAGATTGCAAAATTATGTTTTTCCGTATCAGTGAGGTGTAAAACGTCGAGATTTGTAAAAATCTCGATTTTTTTTTTTTGCACGATTACAATACTTTCTCTATACTTCGTATATACGAGAAAGTAAAAAGTATCCCTTTTTGCAAAAAGTAAATAACAATGCTAATTCAGTATTTCAAACATCATAAATATAAAAATCATTGATCTGTTCTGTTGCTAAAAGTTCAACCTCATTAATTACATTATTTTAATTGTGGTGATTAAAATCTGTCGGGAATGTGTGTATTAGTTGTTATTGTTGCTCAAAACAGTTAAAAAATTAATTAATTAAATAAAATGTCTTACCACTTATTAACATTAATGTCATCTGTATTTTGACTTTCTTCAAAAACTTCTGAAGTGTTACAAAAAGCAGTAGATTCACCTTTAAAAACAAGAAAATTTTTAATTAAAGACAGAATAAATAAAACATTTAACAAACCTAATGTGGGTTATATTTAGTTTCAATATAATTATAATCAGTTTAAAAAAAAAAAACTAACCATCTTCAGGTTTCTTGAAATCTCTGATAATTTCTTCGATTTCCTTACTCCCAGATTTTTTTGCTAATGTAGTTAAAATTAATTTCTCTTCCTCAGTAGGCTGAGTTTCACCTAACAGCAGCCTGACAGCTTTAAAGCATTTATTTTGAATGCTGATCATGAGAGCGGTATCATCATCATTATTTTTATGGGCGGCATTGGCTCCACAATCAAGAAGAGCTTTCATAACCCTGTAAGAGGAACAAGAGGCATACACTAGAAGTGGTGTGTTCCCATTTGCATCCACTATTTCAAGATTTGCTCCCTTTTCTATTAATGCCAGAACCACATCTTTATTCCCGTACTTGGCACTTATATGAAGAGCTGTTTGACTGGATTTCGTTTTGATATTGGCATCTGCACCAGCTTCAAGCAGAGCTTTCACAACGGCAACATTGTTGGTTTCTACAGCATATATAAGCGCTGTTTTATTCTGACCAGGTTCTCGTATATTTAAATCAGGTCTGGGATTTTGATTGTTAAGCAGACTTTTAACAATCTCCAACTGCCCTCTTATAGAACTTAACATTAAAGGAGTTTGTCCTAGTTTATTTGTTGTGTTTGGATCGGCACCGTTTGAAAGTAAAAGACAGACAGCATCTCTGTGGCGATTGGCAACACAAATTCCTAAAGCAGTGTGACCACCTACAGATTCTTTAGCTTCAGTGTTAACTTTGTCTTTTAGAAATATTTCCATGCATGCAGTCAATCCCCCCTGAGCACACAGCATAAGAGGTGTCCAGCCTAGCGAATCTAAAAGTGTATTATCAGCTTTCTTCTCTAACAGATACTGCACAATATCTGTATCTCCTTTAAAAGCTGCATACATCAGTGGGGTTCTGTTAAGTGAGTCTCTCTTGTCAATTTCTGCTTGTGCTTCAACCAACATCCGGACAATTTTCTGGTGTCCTCCCATGCATGCAATATGTAATGGGCTATATCCATCTTTGTTAACTATATTAACCTCAGCTTTAGCCTTAAGAAGGCTCTCAACCATTGAAGTGTCTCCACGTTGCACACTACACAGTAGAGGTGTACTTAGAGCAGTGTTTTCCTGTGCATTAACACAAGCTCCATTTTTTATTAAGATGTCTACTATATCCTTGTACCCTCTTGCTGCAGCTAGTAACAGTGGCGTCAAACCATTTAAATCACTTTCATCAACTGACGCCTTGAATTTTATTAACTCTTTGACTGCCGCAAGTTTACCATTTCCTGCAGCTATAATTAAAGCTGTTGCACCTACTCTTGATATCTTTGAATGAGATGCACCTCTCTCTAAGAGAAACTTCATTATTTCATTATGTCCAAATTGCGCAGCTAACATTAATGCAGTCCATCCTTCAGTTTCCACCGTGTCCAGTTTACTATCAGAATCATATAAAAGTTTGAAGAGTTTTAAATCCCCAAAGCATGCTGCCTCCATTAAAGCTGTTCTTCCTTGCATGTTGCTTTTTATCTTTGATGCTCCTTTTTCAAGCAACAGTTTAACAAACTCAGTGCGCCCAGAATTAGCAGCTATGATTAATGGTGTATCACCATTGTTATCCGACAAATTAACATCCGCTCCATGTTCAAGCAAAAAATGTGTGATGTCCATGTGTCCATGGATTACACTAATAAGCAAAGCTGTCATACCAAGATTATCTCGGGCATCGATACTCTCATCAGCATTAATCAGCCACTTAACAATATCTTTATTTTTATTGTTAACTGCATAGTGTAGAATAGGAGTAAAAGGATCAATCATTCTCCATGGATAATTGAGTGAAATCTTACCAGTCTTGGGGTCTTTTAACTTTGCCAGCAATGCTTTTACAACATGTTCATGATTTTTAGTAACAGCTATGAACAAAGCTCTGAGATGTTCTTGTGGTATAATTTCAAAGTTGTCCAAAAGTAGTTCTAAAGCTTTTTGGTGGCCATTTAAAGATGCACACATTAGGGGTGTGCAACCACTCTTATCTGCTAGCTTGGCATCTGCATCAGCTTTAATCAACTGTGAAATTGTGTAGTGGTTACCATTTAGTGCGGCAAAAAATAAAGCTGTGCGTCCAGCAATGTCAACTATATTTATTGAAGCTTTAGAAGCTTTCAAAATTTTTTCTACAATTTTATAGTCCCCTTTTCTAGAAGCAAACATAAGAGGGGTAGTACCAAGTTTATTTTGACAATGTAAATCAGCCTTATGTTTAATTAAAAATTTTAAACAATCAGGGCGATTATTATCAGCACATATGTGGATGGCTGTATTCCCCTGACAGTTCTCAATATTTACATCAGCCCCTTTTTTACACAGAATTTCAACAACTTGAAAATGGTTATTCAAAGCCGCTTTCATTAATGGTGTCCATCCATTCAGATCTTGAGAATCTAAGTTTGCTGCTTTCTCTATGAGCATTTCTACTATTTCATGCTGTCCTTTACTAGCTGCTATTTGAAGTGCATCACTGCCATCGGGAGTAGTCACATGTATATTGGCTTCTTTCTCGAGCAAAAGTTTGACAATTCTTGAGGTGTTTGATAATATTCCATGCATAAGAGCGCTCATACCCCACACATCTAAACATAACACATCAGCATCTTTTTTAAGCAAATCTTCAACAAAATCTTCATCCACTAAAATACAAGCATACATGAGAGGGGTTAATCCTTGTTTGTTACTGAAATTAATTGAAGCACCTTTTTCCAACAGTTGTGAGCCAAGCTTATGATACCCCATAAGTACACAAACCATCATGATGTTCAAATCACAACTAGGATCTATTTCATCTAAAGACAACTGATTATTATTCCAGCCTTTTAAAAAATCTTTATCTGTTTTTAAGAGACATTTTAATTTTGAGGTTTCAACTTTTTCTTTTAAGTCTTTTTTAATTTGCACAACATTTCTGGCTTCTAGGTGGGGGAAGAGGATGCTGTTAGCTTTATCTGATAGAACTTTCTGCTCCAATATGAATTGATTACCAATTATTTTACCACCAGTCATTTGAATTTGAGCAATGGCAGCTGCCATTTGGGGATCTTGAATAGCAGCAGCAAAGAAAGCTTGTAAGTTTAGGAAGTCTTTCTGAGACATTGGAACAGCTTGCATGTTGTTAGGATTAAAAGGCACAATTGAGGACATTTCTGAAATTTGCCCCTGAGGGAATGTTGTCTTTTTATCACTAGGCCTTTTATAATCCTGAAATAATGAAAAATTTTTAAATGTTTCAAAACACATACGCGGTAATTTATGAATGACAATACAATTTTTACCTCCCCCCCACTCAAATGATGTATTACCTCAGTGTACAATACCACTCAACATTGCAGTTTTTTTTTCTTGAATTTATTTGTCCTAATCAATCAGGGGTCATCTATAAATGATGTCACGCTTTTTTTGACGATTTTTACCTCCTCAATTTATAGAAAATTTCTTTTTTAAAATTAAACACAAACAATACAATAACACAGTATAAAAATAAATGCACATAAAATAGCCCCCATAGGCTATATCTTTTTGTATTTATAGACGTCAAATTAGGGTGTTGCCTAAGATTTTAAACTTAATTATATAATTATTGTTCAAGATGACTTAAAAAATTAAAAACGACATTTATTTACCTTTAATTTCATACCAATTTTAATAATCAAATTATATCGGTAGCCTTGAAAATGATTTGTGAAAAAACGCTTTTATTTTTAAAAGGCTACAATGATATGACTGATATGGTGGCTTAGTTTTTAATTTTCAGTAATAAATGAAGACTAGCGGTTTCCAACAGATGCAACCATGCTCATTTACTATAGCAGCCATCTTGTTTATTTTTTTTTATTGTAAACTTATTGCGCAAGATTCAGGGGAAGCCACTCTAACTTACAGATGGGCGCTTTTTTTACAGCAAGTCTTGCTCGCAAACACTGCTGTTTAAAGTTAAGTTCTTGCCTATATTGATATATTTAGCCATTGAATTTGGTTTATTATTCATTTATCTATAATATTTTACACAAATATATCACAATATACTTCTATTAATTAAAGCCTTGACAATGAGGTAACTTTTTCGTACATTACTAGCTGCGGGCAATTTTACGTACCTAAAACGATAGATTACCGAAATCAGTTTGAAATGTGTCATCTGATAGATTTCTGCCCATTCAAATACACTCACTGCGGGCATAAAAGGGCGGGCTTAGTTAGCTGTTGTCTGGATCAAGTTATTTTTTGTATGTTTTGTTTTTACACTGCATGACTATGTTCTGCTCAATATTCTCAGCTATTATTTGTATTAATTATTTTTGTTTGCTAACATTGTTGAAGTTCAACAGTTGTAGATTGAGACTCAGATTAGGGCCTATAAACTATAAATATAACTTATAAGGCATATTATTTATTAATTTACTTATTTTATATTATAGATCTAGTTTAGTAAAGTTTAGTTGCTGAGCCTTGTTTTTGTTAATGGTAATGCTGAATGAAGCATGCCATCCATTGCAGCATACATGCAGCTTCAAATCGGGAACGATTTGTCAAATTTACAAATTTTCTAAAATTTCTTGTTTGGTTTTGTTTGAATCTAGATTTCTAGATTCTAGAATCTAAAATCTAATATAGAGAATCTAGGGTAATCTATCGTTTTGGGTACGTAAAATCGCCCGCGGCTATTAATGTACGAAAATGTTACCTCATTGTGAAGGCTTTAATAGAAGTGTGTTTTCATATGTTTGTGTCAAAATAGATAAATGAATAATAAACCTAAATCAATGGCTAAATATATCGATATAGGCCAGAAATTAACATTAAACAGCTTTGCTATATGAACAGCAGCCATTTGTAAAATAGAGTGGCTTCCCCCTGAATCTCGCGCTATAAGCTTATATAAAAAAAACTTAAACGAGATGGTTGGTATTGTAAATGAGCATTGTTGCATCTGTTGGAAACATCACTAGTCTTCATTTATTACGGAAAAGTTTTAATTTAATTGATTAAAAAAAGTACATAAATCATAAATTTAATATCATATGATAAATGAAACAAGGAAACATTTTAAAGTTTTGTATTTTAAAAAAACATAAATCCTCCTCAAAATGTGAAATAATTATTAAAATTTAAGGAGTCACCTGTTTTTCACATTACAAGTCGCGGGCGATTTCACGTAGGGTAAAGGAGGGCGTTAAGAGCCGTGTGGTATTAAGCCCCAATCAACACCCCACCCCCACAAAACCCCCAATAACACTGCTAATCTACTTCTGAGGTAACAACCACTGCTGTTCTTTGATAACAGAGAAGCAGAGGATTCATTTTATGTAATTTATGACCCACTTGGTCCAATAGGGAGAGGATGAGACAGGATTTAATCCCACTGCTCTTTCCCTAAAATTTCTCATCTCCATAAAACCATTTTGTGAACTTTTTTTCCAAATCGACATAACTTGGGAAACTTCACTTTGTAATAAACCAAATGAGTTTTTCAAGCCCATTATTTGTTCCTGTATTAGAGCATTGGTTGTTGTACATTTTAACACTATTTTTATAGCTATGGCTAGAATAGTTTTATTTTGGTGAATTTTTTTTTGCACAGTGATTATTGGTGCCAAAACAAAATGGCCGACATTTGTCCCATTTTACCATGCTATAAAGTTTTTATCATTATCAGAGTAAAACTTGACTGATCATTACCATAATGGTTTTATTTGTTAGATAATAACTAAATCTACATGAATACATTAATTTTGTCCACTAGCTTGCCTGTTTAGAAAAGTTATAACAGATACTGTTATGTGGCTCTTGAAACCCTAAGTGCAAGTTTCTCATTTATTAGACCACTGAATATGACACTGGTATAGGAATAGTTAACACAAAATGTATTGATTGTTAAACAGACTTGTGTCTAAATGATAGAAATACAATTCTAACCTGCTAAAAAGTAAATATTAAGCCATCTAAGGTAATTTTTAAAATGGTACAGGTACTTATTACCCCTAAGGGCAATACAGCCGACTCAGCCCCCACCTGTTTCTAACCAACCATAAAACTTCTAATCTCTTTGTAGGTAACAGGAATAAATGTTCTTAGGTCTCAGCCAATCTGGAGTGGTATGTTATGTAATTTATGACCATCATGGTCCAGCAGGGAAGTAAACAGACACATTAATACCACTGCTCCCCCCTTACAATTTCTTACCCCCATGATACCCAGCACCCATCAGTTTCTGGCCCACCATAAAACTTCATCTCTTTGTAGGTAACATGGACTAAGTTCTTAGATCTCAGCCAACCAGAGATAGCATCTCCTTATGTAATTTATGGCCCTCAGGGTCCAGCAAGGAGAAAAAAGGGGAAAACAGTACCACTGCTCTCCCCTCACAATTTCTCACCCCCATGATACCCAGCCCCCACCTGTATCTAACCCACCATAAAACTTATCTCTTTGTAGGTAACATGGACTAAGTTCTTAGATCTCAGCCAACCAGAGATAGCATCTCCTTATGTAATTTATGGCCTTCAGGGTCCAGCAAGGAGAACAAAGGGGAAACCAGTACCACTGCTCTCCCCTCAACATTTCTCACCTCTATGTCATGTTATGTAATGTATAGCACACATGGCTTATCAGGGGAAAGCATTAAGGCAGATTAGTTAGTACCACCCCTTTTTACATACAAGAATGTTAACTCTGGACATCTACACACTAGTATACTAGCTACACACTAGGCATACTAATGTGCCTACTGTAAACTACTAGACTTTAGGCCCTATGTACACCTGCAATTGTATCAATTGTAGACTGGGCCTATTGGGGCCTAGTGATAGTTAGTATCAGTTAAAGTGTGTGTACACAGCTTTAACTATTTTGGGGTTAGAAATTAATTATTTCTATTGCGGAGTTAGTCTAAACTATCATAATACTTATTGCCCCATTGCCCGGCTCCTTTCGCCCCAAATGCTGATTTCGGGGGTATGACAATAAATGTTCAATTAAACCCTTTTAAAGTATATTTAATACACTTTGTTATTATTTTTAAATTGTGTAAGATATGTTAGAATAATTTTGCCATATTTTCAATACTAAAAAATTCTTAGATTAGTAGAAATCTTTAAAAATGTACAGGTGCTAAAAAGTGTGGCTCTTAACGCCCTCCTTTACCCTACCTAAAACGATCGATTACCGAATCTAGATCTAGATCTAGATAGATCTAGACTCTAGACTAGATTCTAGATCTAGATTCTAGAGTATAGATCTAGATCTAGTATGTATCAGTACATTACAATACATTGTGTTGATTGTACTGGATCTAGATCTAGATCTAGATTCTAGATAGATTACTAAGATTAGGGCTGATTAGGCCTATAGATCTAGATTTAAATTCTAAACTTTTAAAATAAATATCCCCTACCGTTAATTTAAATACTTAATATCAAACTGTAGACCTATTACTATTATTATGCATTTTAACATAAACAACAGTTACAATTGCAAAACACTTTTATTGCTACTTTTACTTGTTTTACTTTCAATTTCCAAGAATTATTTTAAGGCTATAAATAGCGCCAAAGTTTACAAGTATCAGCAATCACTGAAAGTCTTTCGTCTTTTTAAACTACATAATATAGATTTCTATGTCGAATCCATTTTTAGCGCAATTTCCATACTGACAATTGTTTTTTTTTTTTTTTATTATTTCATTTGCCAAAAACATTATATTTTCGGCGTATCCCATATGTATTATGTAAGGTATTTGCCTAGTTTTAAATATAAGCATCGTTTAAAATAAAACTGACTTTGATTTTACCTTGTGAAACTGATCTGTAGCATCCTATGACAAGAATTAGTGGCGGATTAGGGTGTATAGAGTGGAAGCAGGCGTTGTCACTGAAATAGCAATATAAACAAAGTGATAGTTCAACGCCAAGGGTAGATAGAGGTATTAGATAGAGGTACAGAACATAGTCCAAGTAGAAACAGAGCAACTTTAACCCAACGGGATTCGAACCTACCATACCACGCATTTTTGTATAATTATTTTGCTTGATTAAATATTGGTAGTATTTTTTTATATTTAAAAAAAATAATTAGAGTAAATGACTTAATTCACCTGTAATTTGCAAATTTGAGCAACCTAAAAATAATTTTTAAAGCTGTTCTGCCTGCTAAGTAAGAGGTCCCACGTGCAATTTTTATTCCTGGGAGGTTTAATAATTATTTTATTTGTATAGCTTTCATTATTTCTCGTTTTTCTCAAAATGTCAATTGCTATCAAATTAGTACCGGTATAGGAACATTTATCTCAAAAACTACTTGAGATATTTCATTAAAATTGTGTAACATCATGCTCACTAAGCACTGCTTAAAAATGATAGACTCAATCAGTTATGTAGTATTCAAACGTTTTATTTTGCAAAATAAATAGCGAGCCACTTTAGTTCATGCAAGGTCTTGCCAGTGGCCTGCACTTCTTCCATTTCTCTCCTCCATGTTCCCAGTGGTCTTCCTCTCTTTCGCTTTCCAGTCGGATTCCACTTCAGTGCCATGTTGGGGAGTCTTCTTTTGCTCATGCTTAGGACATGGTCCAGCCATCTCCATCTCCTCATTCGAACTTCTGAAACAATGTCGTTTAATCCTGTCCTTTGCCATATTTCCTTGTTCGGGACTTTGTCGGCCCAATTTATTCTGAGGATGCGTTGGAGGGATCTTCTTTCAAATCCTCTGAGTCGGCTATCTCCTTTCTTGTTTAGTTTCCATGACTCTGCAGCATAGAGGAGTACAGAACTGCCATTTGCTGATATATAGCTGCCGAGGTATTTAAAGTCTTCGACCTATTCTAGCTGTGACCTACTTAGGTCGAGTCATTTTTATTTTGACATTGTATAATTCCTTATATGGAATGATGGTGTAACACCTGGGGTTTTTCCACTGACTTATTAAGGTGTTTGAGACATAGAAATTTTCCATTAAAATCTGATTGAATGATTCTGATCAGATGATTATCCCAACCAATGGCGACATGAGTTGAGGATAACCTCCCCTGTCACAGAAGTCTATAATTGCACCGCACACTCGCAACACGTGGCAGTTTATCTTGACCTGGCAGTCTACGAGGCAGTTTTACCTTAGTCAGGCAGCCGTCCATATTGTCCGGCTATAGACTCTGACCATTTGAACGTGAGAGTACTTAAGACCTGTGTGTGCCTTGCTTTCTTAAAGTGATTTAGTCTTCTAGTTTAATATTACTTGTCGCTCAGTAATTCTAGAAACTACAGCAGTGTTGTGTGGCCTGTAGCTGTTCTTTAGACAGTGTAGAAATCTGTGTTAGTGTTTTTTCCTACATTGTGTAAGTTGGTTTTTGATATTTTACACATTAAATATTTTATTTAGTTCAACCTTGTGTTCTGCCACTTCTGAGTTCGCTGATTAAAAGGTCGTATGTAGATTGGATGAGTGTTAATTACAATAGTATCACTAGCTTCCCTAGACATTAAATTCGAGCCCTAGTGGTCGTTGTGTTAAGTGTTCATCCACTTAGGCCGTAAGGCATTTGCATATGACCCCGAAAAAAGAATCCGGAGACGTTCTCCTTCTATTTGGCTGATAGATAGGTTAACGTTACAAAGTGGGGGCCCGTCCGGGATTTAATCTGTCGTTCCAGTTGTTGGTTATATCAGTTGAATACTAAGGTTAGTTGGATTTAGTTGTTTTTATATCCAGTAGCGCAGTGTTCTTACAACGCGCGCTCAGGCTAGAGTTATCTAGGTCAAATAAGCAGACGTGTCACGTCCTACATTTAGAGGTCAAGTACACGGCCCAACGCTGTGTGTTAAGTTAGTGAACCTAGGCTTGTTGTGATTTGAAAGTTAGTGTTATGGAGTCTTTTTTGGCTAATCCTACTTTTGAAGAGGTCGAAAAGTTGAGTAGAAAAGTTTTGATTAGTGTTGTTAAGGAATTGAAATTGGATTATTCTGTTACGCAGAAGTCAGAAGTGTTGAGAGATAAAGTTGTTGTTCATTTTATTAATGAAGGGGTATTTGATGAAAGTTTGTTGGCTGGTGTGTTACTCCGCGAGGAGAAAGTTGCTTTAGAGAAGGCATTAAAAGAACAGGAGTTGGAAGTTAAAATTGCTTTAGATAGGAGGAGGTTGGAATCAGAATTTGGTCAAGTTAGTGATGTTACTTCTCTGGTAGATCCAAAAAAGTTGTCGGTGGGGCAAGTGATTGCCAAATTTGGGAAATTAGTTCCTAAATTTGATGAAACAGATTTGGTCGTTTTCTTTAACTCGTTTGAGAGTTTAGCGAAGACCTGTGAATGGCCCGAATCTTCCATTACTGCTTTATTGAGCTCTGTCCTTACTGGGAAAGCTGCAAAAACATACCAGGCACTCTCTCACGACGTTCAAAATAACTATAGTTTGGTCAAGACTGCCATTTTAAAGGCCTACGCACTGACGCCCGAGGCCTATCGGACAAAATTCCGAACACTCCGCAAGTTACCCACACAATCATATGTGGAATTTCTCTTTGAAAAGGAGAAAATATTCTCAAGGTGGCTACACTCTGAGGAAGTTTCTGAGTTTGAGAAACTCAGGTCACTTATCCTAAGGGAAGAATTCCTATCGTCCCTGCCTGAAGAGATACGACTACACATTCTGGATAACAAGATAACTGACATCCAGAAGGCTGCTGAGTCGGCTGACACATATATGTTGGTGCATAAGAAACCACCAGTGTCAGGAAACCGCCTCAACCCCGTGCTTCCCCTTTTTGGCAGCAATCATTCTGTTGGCCAACATTTGAAGGCATCACAGTCCAGAGAGAAACCAAGATCAACTCTCAATCGTCGAGCAGTATGCCAGTTCTGCAAAAGGCCTGGTCACCATGTCAAGGACTGTTACAAACGTCTTCAGAATAACAGAGAGGTGGTGCGTACTTCCGCGCACTATGCTCTATCCCCTCAAGCAGCCAGTTCAACTATGAACTCTAGAATTCAAAAGGACTCTAACCCTAAGTGTCCGCAAGAAGGTAGTCAAGTCTCCACACATTATGTGCAGTCACATTTTGACTGTTCTCGCCACCATCCAGTTTCTTCCGAGTCTACCGATCTCGAGGGATCGAGAAAAGTTGACTTTTCATCTTTTATTGCTGAAGCCATCATTAGCAAACCAGGTGATCCGTTGTCTCAGAAGAATATCACCGTTCTAAGAGACACAGGAGCGTCACAATCACTCCTTTTGAAAAGTTCAATGGACATTACACCAGAGACGAACACCGGAAGGATTTCCATTATCCAGGGAGTGGGGACAAAATCTACTGTCGTCCCTCTACACAAGTTTGCCCTGAAACATCATCTCGTCGAAGGTGAGGTCATTTTAGGTGTGATAGATAGTATTCCAGTCCCAGGAGTACACCTACTTCTAGGGAATGACCTTGCGGGAAGCAAAGTATACCCCTGTACGGTTTCAGACCCTCTGTCAACAGTTCCAGATAATGATTATGAACTGTATCCTGCATGTGCGGTGACAAGAAGCCAGACCAAACAATTGGCTGACATCACGTCTGAACCACATCTACCATCATCGTCAAGAAATTCGACTCCCAAACTGGAGTCTATGCTTCCAGAAAACACAAGTCTGGGCTTACCCCTGAGGATATCTCAGGAAGACATCATTAAAGCTCAACAAGTCGACGCGGAACTCAAAGCAACGGTCGAAAAATCTCTATCATCTGACGATGGAGAATATTTCGCCGAGAATGGCCTCTTCTTTCGTCGCGCTATACCAGTGATTGCCTCACCAGCCGAACCATGGTTGGGTAAAAACCAGCTGTGGGTCCCTCCACCTTATCGGCATGAAATACTTAAGCTGGCACATGACCATCCAATGTCAGCGCACCCAGGAGTCTCTAAAACGACGGCGAAGATCAAAGAACTGTTCTTTTGGCCCAAAATGAGAAAAGATGTGTCGCGTTACTGTAGAAGTTGCACGAACTGTCAGTTGGCCGGAAAGCCAAACCAGACAATTCCTAAGGCCCCTTTGAGTCCGATTCCTGTATTAGAAGAACCTTTTTCTAAAATCGTCATGGACTGTGTAGGTCCCTTGCCTAAAACCAAGGCGGGCAACGAGTACCTACTTACCTTTATGTGTTCAAGTACCCGTTTTCCCGAGGCGATTCCCTTACGGAACATTAAGGCAAAGACTGTAGTCAGAGCCATGACCCGGTTCTTCACTACCTTTGGATTACCTAGAATCGTGCAAACAGATCAAGGCAGCAACTTCACCAGTCTCCATTTTCAGGAAGCGCTAGCCACGCTAGGCGTTACCCACATCACCAGCTCAGCCTACCACCCTCAGTCTCAAGGCGTACTTGAGAGGTTCCACCAAACCCTCAAAACCATGCTAAGGACATTCGCTAATAGTAACACCCAATGGGATGAGTCTGTTCCTTGGATTATTTTCGCCGCGAGGGACTGTGTCCAGGACTCTTTAGGC